CATCAGCATCAGCTGCGACATTTATTTTTATTCGTCTTCCAAAAATTTTAAAAAGCTTTTTTATTGTGACAAATGCTCATTGTTAGTTTTTCAGCAGCAGTTCTGCAAACTTTATATAACAGTTCACCTTCCAAATATCAAATAGGCTGATATGCACTATGAACACTGTATTTCTGCGAAATAATGCGCAGGGTGAAATTACAAATTCCGGCCTAAATTAAGCTTAATTCATACCAAACCTCGAAATAACGCCCATGGTCGTTATTTCGCGATTTTATGGTAGTTTATTTTCTATATCTGTATATATATGGGGTTGAGTCAATAAAAACCAAGCAACTATTTTTTTTAATAAGTTTTTTTAAAAACTTTAAATAAGGATAACTTAATTTTATAAGTTTGTAAGAATTAATTAAAAAATTTTTTATTAAGTTATTTTTATTTAAAATTATAAAAACTTTTTATTATAAAAAATTTGCTTGATTTTTTATTGACTCACCCCATATGTTTATATTAGAAATACATTGATAGAATAAATTATCAATTGTAAAAAAAAATTGATATAATATTTTACCATATCATTTTGTTTTAACGTACTGTATACAGAAATATGAGTAATTAAAAGCGTGAGGGGGTTATACGCGTAAGTCATGGATAATTTCCATCCCTCTTATACAATCTACTATAATTATTAATGTAACTTCTATCATTCAATCTTATCTTTTGATAATTTCGTTTAAACTACATTTTCTAACTCTTGAAAATGACCTTTGTTTTTATTACAAGCATGTTGCAATTGTTGTGAATTAAATTCCGCAATATATAAATTTTTTACTGACTGACAGTACCATATTATTTGCTATAATTCTTTGAGCCTTAATGACGTAATGCCGCAATACCATAATGCCATAATGCATTACGGCATTATGACCGTTATGTCGAAATACCGCGCGAAATAACGCTCAGGGGCGTTAATTTGAAAATTAGATAACCCTAAAATAGTACATGTAGACTCAAATTATCACCCATGAATGTCCCGAATTAACACATATCCCTATAAATAAATATAAAATAAAAAATAGAAGTGTTCCGGAACTGGGCTTGGTATTAAGTAAACCTATTAGGGTGATCATTAAGATAACTTCGATCAAAAGTTTGATTAAAAATTTTGCCGTAGCTACTAATATAAATGTTTTAAAAAATATTTCAAACCTATGATCAACAATATTTCGATGGCCACTATATCAAATTTGATGAAATTTTTTTTATTCGAATTATATTGATTTGTAGAATTCAAATAAAAAAGTTTTCATCGAATTTGATGCAGTGGTCATCGAGATATCTTTGATCAAAGTTTTGGAACTTTTTTAAAATACCTTATCACAAAATATCTATACCAAAATTTTAATCAAATTTTGATTGATGATATCTCAATAGCCACTATATCAAATTTGTTAAAAAGTTTTTTATATAGATTCTATAGATCTGTATAATTCAAATAAAAATTTTTTATCGAATTTGATACAGTGTTCATTGAGATATTGTTGATCAAAGTTTGATTAAAATTTTGCTACAGCTGCTAATATAAATGTTTTAAAAAAATTTCAAAACTTTAATTGACGATATCTCGATGACCACTGCATCAAATTCAATAAAAATTTTTTATTTAAATAATACAGATCTATAGAATTTAAATAAAAAACTTTTTATTGAATTTAATGTAGTGTCTATCGAGATATCGTCAATCAAATTTGATTATAGATATTTTATTATGTGATAAGGCATTTTAAAAAAGTTTCAAAACTTTGATTGAAGATATTTCGATAACCACTGTATCAAATTTGATGAAGCATTTTTATTTAAATTCTACAGATCAGTATGATTTAAATAAAAAATTTTCATCAAATTTGATACAGTGGTGTCAAGATATCTTTGATCAAAGGTTTGGGATTTTTTTAAAAATGTCTATATTAGTAGCTGTAGTAAAATTTTTAATTAAACTTTAATCAAAAATATCCCAATGACCAATGCATCAAATTCAATGAAGACTTTTTTATTTAAATTATACAGATCTATAGAATTTAAATAAAAAAATTTTCACAAATTTGATGTAGTGATTAAAGTTTCAGAATTTTTTAAAACATCTAAATTAGTAGCTGCAGCAAATTTTTAATCAAACTTTGATCAAAGTTATTTCATTGACTACTATATCAAATTTGATAAATTTTTTTATTTAAATTGTACAAATCTATATAATTTAAATAAAAAATTTTATCAAATTTGATGCAGTGGTCGTTGAGATAATTTCAATCAAAGTTTAAAAAATTCATTATTTTGATCACAGGTTTTACCCTATAAATATTAGGTTTTATATAAGTGATTATTTTTTATACCCCCCTAATTTATTAACTATACCTCCCTGCAGATTTAATTTTTGTTAAACTTTGAGCAATGATATCTTAGTAACTACTAGGCCAAATTTGATGTTTTTTTTTTTTAAATTCTATAGATTTGTAGAATTCAAACAAAAAAAAGTTCATCAAATTTGATCAAGTAATTGCTGAGATATCATTGCTCAAAGTTTGAAAAGAATCAAACTGTCTATCAAAACAAACTATCAAATTTTTTTAGACTTTGAGCGAAGATATTTTTGCAAATAATAGGCAAAATTCGATGATTTTTTTATTTGAATTCTACGAATCTGTAGAATGCAAATAAAAAAAAATTCGTTGAAATTGGCTTGGTGGTTGTCGTGATATTTTTGTTCAAAGTTTTTAAAAAACCCAAAACTTATATTAAAACAAAAGCTGCTCCAAAATTTTTTTAAACTTTAAGTGAGGATATTTTGACAACCACCAAGTCAATTTTGATGAATTATTTTTTATTTGAATTCTATGAATCTGTAGAATACAAATAAAAAAATTCATCGAATTTGGCTTGGTGGTTGGCGAGATATTTTCATGCAAAATTTGAAAAAAATTTGACACAGCTTTTGTTTTGATATACGTTTTGAGTTTTTTTCAAATTTAAATGAAGATATCTCAACAACCACCAAGCCAATTTCAATGAATTATTTTATTTGCATTTTACAGATTCGTAGAATTTAAATAAAAAAAAATTTATCGAATTTGGCTTGGTGGTTGTCGAGATATCCTCATTCAAAGTTTGAGAAAATTTTGGCACAACTTTTGTTTTGATTTACGTTTTGGGGTTTTTTTAAAACTTTGAGCGAAGATATCACAAACAACCACCAAGTCAATTTTGATGAAGTTTTTTTTATTTACATTCTACAGATTTGTAGAATTCATATTAAAAAAATTTATCGAATTTGGCCTAGTAGTTGCAAAGATATCTTTGCTTAAAGTTTAAAAAATTTTGCATAGTTTGTTTTGATAGATGGTTTGATTTTTTTCAAACTTTGAGCAATGATATCTTAGCAACTACTGTGCCAAATTTGATGAACTTTTTTTTGTTTGAATTCTATAAACTTATAGAATTTAAAGAAAAAACATTTGTCAAATTTGGCCTAGTAGTTACTAAGATATATTTGCTCAAAGTTTAAAAAAAAGGTAAATCTGCGGGGGTATGGTTAATAAATTAGTGGGTATAAAAAATAATCCCCTATATACTGTATATAAATGATAAACTTGGATTTTACATATTTATCTCAGGTTTTACATAATATAAATAATAAATTCAGATTTTACTAAACAGCAACTCAGGTTTCACTCTGTTGTAAAATAATTACTTATTGTATTATAATTAAATAAGTATAGAATGAGAATGGTATAAATATATAAAGATATTTACTTTACTAATTATGCTTTTCTTAACATCCAACTTTCATTAAATTTCAGAATTTTTCAAAGTTCGAGTAATTTTGATAGGATTTTAGCTTATTATCTGAAATCCTTTATAAAACACTCATCTTATATAATTTATATAGTGTTTAAAGCTAAACCACACATACTTACTTATTGCTTTTTCAATACTGGGCTCTATATCTAAAAGAAGTTACTTACTAATAGCAGTTTTTATAAATAATTATATCACAGTTATTATTTGAAAATGCTATTAGATCCATTCTGGCAATCATAATAAAAAGCTTATCATAAGTATTAATAAACAAATCGTATAAATGAAAATTTTAGTAATAATAATTAAAATTTTTATTATATTATTCAAAAAAATTTCTTTTCCAGCTAAGCTCTTTTACAAAATTCTAATAACATATCTAAATACAAAAGCTTCTTTCTGTAAACTATAAATAATGCAAAATAGCTATACCAATATTATAACAAAAACTTTATTTTAGAAACAGAAACCTTGTTGAAATGTTAATTTTAGAATTGAATGAAAATAAAAAAGCATTGATTGCTAATATTTAAAAACTTATTCCAAAATTATTGTTTAAATGCTCTATAGATGATTTAAATGAAATCAAAAATTGGTTAAATAAATCGGATGAATCTTTCCAATTTTAATTTTTTTAAGATAGTATATATTATTAAACACTTTTATATTGCTCAATATATCTAATGTAGACTGCAATGGCTATCATAAAAATAAATAGTAAATCTTAAATTTAAATATATAATTTAAATAATTCAAATATATCTGTTCAATCGACAATCTATCATAGGAATTTCTTGAACTTGAACTAGAAAGCGAGGATGTAGCTAGAGTACTCGTAATTTGTGAATCTGACAAGAATTCGCAAATACCCATAATGATCTAACGAAAATGTTTTTTAAGTCACCTAATGAAAGAATCAAAATTTGAAAAAAACAAATTTGAAAAGTATCATACCTCGGACTTTTGTTTCATCTGTGAAAAAATATTATCTTCACTATCATTCATCATTATTTCAACCAAGTTACTTTTTTCGTCCCAACTAGTACAAGAATTTTCAATCATCTCTAACAAGCGACGATCAATTCTTGAGAGAATCATCCTCATAACCTCTTTCAAATTATCAGGCCAACGATAAAGCCATAAGGCTTTAAGAGTTCCATCATCAGAAGGCTCAAAATGTCCGAATAAATGCATAACATACATACATAAACAATCCAATATTCCAGAATTTATATCATTCATCTTTTCAATAAAAGCAATTAACATTGAATGCGCTTCTGGAGAATCAATAAAATAAGAAGCGGGAATATAAGGATTTGTATTTGGAGTAAACCGGTAAAAACGCGGATCCGAAGTTGCTTTTGGCCTTTTAAGGATGAAAATGAGCACAAATGAGTATATTATAAGTCAAAATCAATAAAGTTGTGAAATAATAAAAATAGTACTGTAATAAGCATCAAAATGAACCTTGAGGTATTAATTGCTTGTTCTATCATATCCCCATGATCTTCACGAGAAACGTGGAAGGTCCATGCTTTTGTGAAATATTCTAGAAACTTGTCTATTTGATCATCAATATTTGATAATCGATCATTAAGCCAGAAATCAGGATCTAATTTTTTAATAATTGATTCTATTTTCTTCGTGAATGCCGAGGCTGATTTCCTACGTTGATTATTAAAAGTATTAATTTCATCAGATATTTTCGAGGCTTTTCGATTTACTCTATTAAAAAAAAGTACGATATTAACATTGCAGAATAGTCATTTTATACTTTAAAAAATTGCAGAGCAGATATGAACCTTAAATTTGATTTATCACTAATAATGTCACTTGACACTTCCTTCCTTTTCCGTTTTTGAGCGGTACCGTTTATATCAATGGTTGTTGATGGTTTAGTAATTTCCCAATCAATTATAATACGTCTACTAGTTACAGAAGTATGTGCATCATTTTCCAATTTAATCCGACTATCAAACAAAATGACAACGATTAAATACCCGGAATGCCCCGAAATGAAAATAGGTCTATATAAAACCAAGAGTTACCCGCTCGTCATTGCGTCATAAGTATCTAACAACAACTCTCCCAACCCAGTCCATGAAGTTTGTTGCAAATGAATGTGATGAGAAGCAAGAGCACCAGAGTTTAAATGGCCTATTAAAGAATCATCGAATCATCGATAAGTCATACTGTCATAATTTTAATTTTAAATAAAAATTATTTATGATCTTACCTGATGGTTTAATTCGTCTTGGTACAGTTTCCAAAACAGATGAATGTCTTACTGGGGGAGCAGTTTCGTAATAACTCCTATTAATTTTAAAATTACATTAGTTTATCTATCGTACATGAGACAAGCTCATCCTAATTGATCAAACACCAACCTTGGCAATAAAAACCTAACCCATGTATCTTTTAAGAGCTGGCTTCTTAATTGATTTAGCACCTTATTATATGGATCGAAGACCAAACCTTTATCGATTGCGTTCAAGCAACTTTGAAATTCGCCAAAATCATATAAAAGCTATCGATCACACAGAATAAGATCATTACTCGTATGTACGTACGTACGTACGTATGTTTTAATTAAAAAATCAACTTACACGACAATACTCTTCTAAAGCTTCCTTATGACTGGGTGTGAGAACTTTAAACATAGGGCAAGACGCATCAGAATTTACAGATGATGATGGTATTATGTCAATATCTTCAAGAATTTTTTTAAAAGCACAAAGAGAAGATTCACGATCATTAATTTCTTCAGACATAGAAAGCCTGCCAATCTTTAACCAGATACTAT